TGATCAAGCCCTCATTTGCACTGATCTAGCACGTACGAACACATCTGCGCCCCACTCAGACATAATAGGCTCTCTACATGTCTCAACCAAAATGGACTTGAAGTTCAGTTTGCCTTATTTTTCCTACTTTGCAGTTGTTTTAGTTACGTTTTACCCTCCATTTCTTCACTTAAAATAGACAGGTAACTCACTGGAATTATTGATACTGTTCAACTAAACTTGGTCGCTAAGGGACACTTATTGCCTCCCTAAAAGCCAAGAGAACCGCACAATCGACTGCTTACTACCAGTCGACCTGCATCGATGGAGCCTGTTACCCATTAACTGGTTAGGACAACACAAAATAACATCAGCACCAAGTGGGTGTGAGTCACTTCTTGTTTATTGCTTGTTAGCTTTTTACTCTTCTGCACACTATGTTGACTAGCAATTAATATTATTTGTCCAATCGTTACCTTATCTACAACCCATATACTTCTATACTTTTCCGCCCGCTTCAATAAACAACCATCCTACGTTATACCCTTCCTAATGCTTATGCTCTAATTGGCGAACTATACTTTATACTGTATTCAATTAAAGCACTGCATCGATGCCTTGCCCACAATCCATAATTTGTAACTGCCTGATAAGATTGTAAAATGGTATTTATAGAAATAGTGTTTTCCAACAGGTCGTGAAACAGAGGATTGTGTGAGGTATGACATATATCCAAAAATAAGCTTAAATGAGCCTAATATCATAAAAGGAGGGAGGGTGGAGTTACTGACCAGCAAGCATTGATGGTGAGGGCGATGACTTCAATCCACCCGTGTTTGTGGGGCAGAACATTTTGTGTGTATCAGGCTCTCTATCATTGAACATAAGCTAGTCAATCTGTGATATAGATTGTCTTCATACGCTCACTACTCAGACTCATGTTTTCAATTTTATATTGGATTGGCTATGCTACTAAGACAACCTATAACATGCTAACTCGGACATTTACGCTAAGATTGTGTGGCTAGCATCGGATGGACAAAAAAGAAAAGAAAGAAAAACTGTTATTAATATTCTTAACACTTCACCCTCTATATGCATACTCCCTTCTAATAAACCGCTTTCCTTGTACAAACCTTGACTTCCCTTCCTTCATATGAGCTTACTCCAAATTGTTAAGCATTACAATTAATTGTTCTTTATTACTACATTTTCTTTAATGGAGCCTCTGACTTCATTTCACTCTAACAAGAGATAATATGAATCTGATCTAATTTATTATACCTCTGTCTGTTCTACTACACAATGTTAAGCAACGTTTGGCGTTCATATTCAAGTGTCTTGCTGCTCTGCTGTTTCTCTTTTTTTCCTCTTCAGAATCTTGCTCTGAGGGCACAGCTATGGAACTTCTGACGTCTGGAACAAACTTGACGTGTGCGTCAACTCAAGGTCATGGTTTATAGCAAGCGCTCTACGAGTATACTTTACAACAATTATAAAATTGATAAGTAGGGAAGCATGCTGTGCTCCAAAAAATGTTATAATTTGCAGATCATGCCTGTAAAAATGGCGTGTACAGAGAAAGGGATCAAAGAAACACTAACCTCAACATGTCAGGAAGAGCTGGGTCTCAAGAACCATCATCATACAGAGTGGACCTCTATGAAAATGCTGGACAAGATTCAAGAAGGGAAGAACATGACAGCAATTAACAACAGCCGAATGCGAGCAGAGAAGATCAAGACACAAGCTGAATACACTGAAGTGAACAAGCTAATGAAGAAGAGCATTAGAGCTGACAGGCATAAATATGTGGGAGACTTAGAAACGACAGCAGAAATAGCTCCAAGAAAAGATGCAGATGCATTAGAAGTGAGGACCGGAGTCAGACAAAGCTGTTTACTCTCCCAGTTTTTCTTCTGGTGGTCGACTGGATTATGAAGACCTCGACATCTGAGGGGAAACACGGCATACAATAGATAGCTCAGAACCAATTAGACGACTGGGACTTCGCAGATGACCTAGCCTTCCTATCTCACACATGAACAAATGCATATGAAGACAACTAGTGTGGCAGCAGCCTCTTCATCAGTACGAATTAACATACATAAACGAAAAAGAAAGATTCTCAAATACAACACGGAGTTCACCAACCCAATCACACTTGACGGCGAAACTCTGGGAGATGTGGGATCTTTCACGTACCTGGGCAGTGTCATAGATGAACGAGGAAAAAAATCAAGGTCCTGAAATACAACACGGAGAATATCAACCCAATTACACTTGCTAGCGAAGCTGTGGTAGGTGTCGAGACTTTCGAGTACCTGGGTAGCATCATCGATAAACAAGGAGAATCTGATGTAGATGTAAAGGCAAAGATTGAAAAAGAATGGTCAGCATCCCCACAACTGAAGAACATATAGAGCTCAAATTGATTTTCAGCCGAAATCCTCAATACGAACATCACTACATTGCTGTACAAAGCTGATACGTGGAGAACTACTATGTGTTAGCCAGATGTCATCAGCAAGAGCCTACTGCGAGAGAGAACAAACCAAATACTAATTGAAGAGGAAATTAAGAAGAGGCGTCGGAAGTGGATAGGACATACACTGAGGAAATCATCAAACTACTTAGAATCCTGAAGGGAAAATGAAAAGAGAAAGGTCGAAGAACATATCGCGTCGGGAATTCGAGGGAGACATCAAAAGAATAAGTAACAACTGGAAAAGATTGTCCAGGACAAAGTTCGATGGAGAATGTTGGTGGGCAGATTATGCTTCTCCACGAGGGGTGACAGGCGTAAGTAAGTAATTTTTAGTGTTGTTAGGGGTATGAGGGCGGTTATCACTTCCCGGTTGCCTACACCGTGGAAGGGTTCTCCTGGAGGTACCTGAAAAGGAAATTGGATTAGAGGTGGTCATAGTGACCTGAGAGCGTGACCGCAGTGCCCAAGAGACAGCTGCTTGAGGTCGGTCACACACGACCTTTTTATGAGTAGTTTTTGTGTTAGCTCCGTACTTGTTGAGACCTTACCGCTGGAGACGGATATCCGTGGAATGAGGCAAGGTGTGCATTTTTAGGGTCGACCTTTTCTAACCCCACTTCTCCTTATGGGAAGGCAGCATCGCTGTCATGCTGGTTGTCTGAAGGAAACACCTTACTGCCGTCACACCTCTGTACAGTCAGCAGTACGACTTCGCCTTCGGACCTTGGATTTGTTGCTTTTAGTCTTACCGCTCTTCAACTGACCTGTCTGGCATGGTAGGACTTTAAGGAACGGTTGTTCCAGCCAATGTAGCTCAGTTGCTTCATCACGATAGGCAAGCCCGACCACCACGTCAAGGTAGCAACAATAACTAATTCTTTTTTTCTGTATTATATCCTTATACACAATCTTTCTTTTATATACTACTACCTTTGATGTGACTACTTTTATGAATCCGGTGTTTATCTTGTGTGCTAATGCTGTATGGCAACTTGGACCGATGCATATATGTGCCTGGTCCTACGTTGCAGCTGATTGACTGACTTTTTAGTGCTGGTCGAATTCTACCGATCAAGTTGCAATGTGTCCACTAGTAAGAGTGACTTGACACTACATGTACTATGTTGACATCAATTCGAGTTACCACATCTCAAGAGGGCGAGAAAAAATTAACAAGGTGAAAAGCGGAAAAGGAGTAGCAGCAACAACTATTAAAATGGAAATATAAAAGTAAAAAACATGGTTCAGAAGGAACGATTAAATCGAAGAATGAATAGTACCGTATGACATTAAACTCATGATTTTGAGGAAGACAAAAAACGAATCTAACTGTATCACGAAAATAGATTTCGGGTCATGCTACATAATGTCTCCGACTCTAGATCGAGACTTTTGAGTGACACTTAGTCATGAAATCCAAATCTTTTGATATGGCTCAGCCTAACAGTTAATTTCTACATGGACTGACGAAATGTTTTCGAATAGTCAACCCTAACCTTATTCCAACCTACTCTCATGCCAACCAGAACTGATCATCAGAGTAGGCGCTTGCTAGGCATGTGCAAGATATGCTCTAACCAAGTTGATGAAGAGTGATATCGTCAATAATAGATCAATTATTTCCACATAGAACACGAAGTCTATCCTCAGAATTACTAACTTGCTGGTTCCACCATATTTCAGTTATGCGTATAAACACTAGCAATCTTCCCATATTTTGTACCAGTATACCCCACTTTTCACAGCCATGGAGCAATACAGAAAAGACTCCGTTTTGAGGAAGTAAAGTCTCTAACATCTTGATAGGCTAGAAGGACGAAGCAAAAATGACATAAGTTAAATTTCTGAAAGTCTGGTTTACGGTTTTAAAGATAATACTTGACTTCTATTATTGGAAACAAGATGTTGGTGAAATGTTAACTAGACTGGAGTCAGAAGTCTTGCAGGTTTAATTAATGATAGAGATATGTGAATGTGAACTTGGGTGTATGTATTAAAAGTTTCAGTGGTCACCATCAGACGATATGACCAATTAGGTAAGTAAAGCGGTTAATCACCTAAAGCATCTTGTTCGTTAAAATATATTAGAGGGGTAGTCGTTTTTCAGCTAAAAAAGTAGAGTACAAGGTGGAATTCCCCTTCCCTCCAGCTTTGTCAAAACTCTCAAAGATTACTAAATTGTTATCAATCAGATGAACACTAGAACTCATTGATATGGTGGCAAAAATAAACAAAGCGTTATCTCGAATAATTGCACAATATTAAAATAAAATACAGATTAGGTGAGAATCGATTAACGACTGAAAGGAATAGGGATATTACATAGTTACCATAAGAAGGGGGAGATAACATACATCATATCCTAAGTAAGGAATAATGCGGATTATTTTTCCTAACCTTTTGATCTATTCCTTTACATTAAAGAACTGAGAACACGCAATATTCGTAATGAGAAATTCCTACAGAATGGACTTACAAGGCAGATTACTCAGATGCACGTAAGAAACATAAGCAGTATGAAATGATACATCAATTAGTCCCTTGTGGTACAATATATCTTGAAATGTTCGTATAAGTGAAAAGATTTGTAGAAACGGTTCGAATACCCTATTGTCTACCTCAAAACAAAATAAACAGGAAAACAATGAATTACATCGCTTGATGAAAAACAGAAACGTACACGTTTTTCTAGTAGTTGCAGGAGCTTTTCGTATCTTCTTTCTGCCTCTTCTAGTTCATGTTTTAAACCTAGACTGTATTGCGGTTTGAACAATTCTGGTGCACGAACGTCATCTCAAAGCTAGGGCTAACAAACGATGTACCAACCTTTCGTATTATCCTCGGTGGTAGCAGCATTTTTGATTCGCTTAATTACATCTTCGCTAATCTTACAGACTTATGATGTAACAGAATAACTTACTACAATATCGTCGGGGTGGAAAGTCACATCTCGGGTTTGGTGAGAGGCAGCAGAACCCATATCTAAAAAATTCTTTTATACTAAGAGGTAAAACTTTAGAGAAGGAATAGAGTATGAAAAGTATTTATTATTTAAATGTACAATGTCATTTTTACGATTAAGATGTGGAATCCATAATCCATTTAAGGTACGGTGGGTAACCCCCCTCAATGTTTAAGCTAATGATTTCCGGGCATTCATAAGGGTGGATTTCTTTGACAACCTCCGTTAGAGAAGGAACCAACTTTGATTGAGTTTTCGCCATTAAAAGGAGCTCATCTGACCTTTCCACTTTTCCTTCCCAAACGTAAACAGACTTAATTGAGGGTATGATATTCACACAAGCAGCCAGTTTTCTACTAACTAAAGTATCTGCAATAGTTTCCGCGACTGTGGAATTCGGACAAGTAATTAGAGCTATAGAATACATCGATGTCTTTGAAAACCAGATGCTGGCACCAAACGATGATATTAACAAACCTATCAAGAAATCGCAAACGTGTCTCAACATTATTGAAGGCGTACACAGATAGAAAACACCACTAACTGACTTGTTACACACCTTGACCTTGAGAACAAAGCTTCCGCAGCATGTGGATTCTGTGCAGTATGTACATAAATCCCCAAAACAAATAAATCTTTGACATTGATCCTGAAACCATTAGTTTCATTTAACACTCTCTATCTGAAAATGCTCGGTCAAGAATATACATCAGACCAAACTGTGTACACCATGCTATTCAGTTCTCTCAACTAGCCAGCTTGTACCACATATTTTTTGACGTAACAAGCATCTTACAAATTTATCTTCTAACCCCCTTCATCCCTGATTTCTGGTTTGAACTTTTCATGTATGAAAGTAGAATAAGCGATTGGTAGCTTCAAATAATTATTTACATTTATATTCTTATCGTACAATTACTAAGTAATTAGATCCCCTTATCATAAGTTTTCATTTGGCCGATCAACTGCTGTTATACGATTTACGGACAATGGAGGTGGTTACTTCGTACAGAACAATGCGCAACGCATATTTTGGGGATTTACTCCAAAGTTTCCCCAAAGTTAGGAGCTTGGGATAGTTCAACATCAACGTAACGTGCCTACGTTACAAAGCAATGAGATAATGTTGTAATAATGTTTTGTAATTTTTGTAAACCCTAACAAATATTTCAATGTATGGCAAATCATTCTTTTAATTACAGCGATAAATCGATTCACGTAAAGCTTCTTTGGCACTGCTTAATTAACTAAAAATAATGGAATATCGCAGTAAGAACTGTACGTATGTATTCTCGCCTGGCTTTTCCGTGATATTGTAACGGTAAATAAATCCCCAAAATAAATAGCTCTGTAAATTTCCGACATTGGATGCTGACCACATTGGTTTTAATGGACTCATCTAGCTAAAGGCGCTCGGTCAAGCATCCGCAGCAGATCACGTGTGGGAACGCCGTGCTCAACATCTACTGCAATCGCTAGCCAGATTAGTGCAAACGAACCTCGATATATTGATAGCTCATCAAATATATATTCGATCTCCTCACTTCTGCCTTTTGATTTTACTTGGTGGGTGCGCTTCAGGTCGAGGCCTGAAGTTTTCTTTTTCCGGGATTCTCACAGAGCTGGATAGATTCATTGTATATTTGATCATATTCATATAATAATTCACATTCATATACGTTGAAGATGCCACAGGTATTCGGAGTTTGACAACGCTTTAACCAATAACACCTTCTACTATGAAGCGCACCCACCAAGTAAAATCAAAAGGCAGAAGTGAGGAGATCGAATATATATTTGATGAGCTATCAATATATCGAGGTTCGTTTGCACTAATCTGGCTAGCGATTGCAGTAGATGTTGAGCACGGCGTTCCCACACGTGATCTGCTGCGGATGCTTGACCGAGCGCCTTTAGCTAGATGAGTCCATTAAAACCAATGTGGTCAGCATCCAATGTCGGAAATTTACAGAGCTATTTATTTTGGGGATTTATTTACCGTTACAATATCACGGAAAAGCCAGGCGAGAATACATACGTACAGTTCTTACTGCGATATTCCATTATTTTTAGTTAATTAAGCAGTGCCAAAGAAGCTTTACGTGAATCGATTTATCGCTGTAATTAAAAGAATGATTTGCCATACATTGAAATATTTGTTAGGGTTTACAAAAATTACAAAACATTATTACAACATTATCTCATTGCTTTGTAACGTAGGCACGTTACGTTGATGTTGAACTATCCCAAGCTCCTAACTTTGGGGAAACTTTGGAGTAAATCCCCAAAATATGCGTTGCGCATTGTTCTGTACGAAGTAACCACCTCCATTGTCCGTAAATCGTATAACAGCAGTTGATCGGCCAAATGAAAACTTATGATAAGGGGATCTAATTACTTAGTAATTGTACGATAAGAATATAAATGTAAATAATTATTTGAAGCTACCAATCGCTTATTCTACTTTCATACATGAAAAGTTCAAACCAGAAATCAGGGATGAAGGGGGTTAGAAGATAAATTTGTAAGATGCTTGTTACGTCAAAAAATATGTGGTACAAGCTGGCTAGTTGAGAGAACTGAATAGCATGGTGTACACAGTTTGGTCTGATGTATATTCTTGACCGAGCATTTTCAGATAGAGAGTGTTAAATGAAACTAATGGTTTCAGGATCAATGTCAAAGATTTATTTGTTTTGGGGATTTATGTACATACTGCACAGAATCCACATGCTGCGGAAGCTTTGTTCTCAAGGTCAAGGTGTGTAACAAGTCAGTTAGTGGTGTTTTCTATCTGTGTACGCCTTCAATAATGTTGAGACACGTTTGCGATTTCTTGATAGGTTTGTTAATATCATCGTTTGGTGCCAGCATCTGGTTTTCAAAGACATCGATGTATTCTATAGCTCTAATTACTTGTCCGAATTCCACAGTCGCGGAAACTATTGCAGATACTTTAGTTAGTAGAAAACTGGCTGCTTGTGTGAATATCATACCCTCAATTAAGTCTGTTTACGTTTGGGAAGGGAAAGTGGAAAGGTCAGATGAGCTCCTTTTAATGGCGAAAACTCAATCAAAGTTGGTTCCTTCTCTAACGGAGGTTGTCAAAGAAATCCACCCTTATGAATGCCCGGAAATCATTAGCTTAAACATTGAGGGGGGTTACCCACCGTACCTTAAATGGATTATGGATTCCACATCTTAATCGTAAAAATGACATTGTACATTTAAATAATAAATACTTTTCATACTCTATTCCTTCTCTAAAGTTTTACCTCTTAGTATAAAAGAATTTTTTAGATATGGGTTCTGCTGCCTCTCACCAAACCCGAGATGTGACTTTCCACCCCGACGATATTGTAGTAAGTTATTCTGTTACATCATAAGTCTGTAAGATTAGCGAAGATGTAATTAAGCGAATCAAAAATGCTGCTACCACCGAGGATAATACGAAAGGTTGGTACATCGTTTGTTAGCCCTAGCTTTGAGATGACGTTCGTGCACCAGAATTGTTCAAACCGCAATACAGTCTAGGTTTAAAACATGAACTAGAAGAGGCAGAAAGAAGATACGAAAAGCTCCTGCAACTACTAGAAAAACGTGTACGTTTCTGTTTTTCATCAAGCGATGTAATTCATTGTTTTCCTGTTTATTTTGTTTTGAGGTAGACAATAGGGTATTCGAACCGTTTCTACAAATCTTTTCACTTATACGAACATTTCAAGATATATTGTACCACAAGGGACTAATTGATGTATCATTTCATACTGCTTATGTTTCTTACGTGCATCTGAGTAATCTGCCTTGTAAGTCCATTCTGTAGGAATTTCTCATTACGAATATTGCGTGTTCTCAGTTCTTTAATGTAAAGGAATAGATCAAAAGGTTAGGAAAAATAATCCGCATTATTCCTTACTTAGGATATGATGTATGTTATCTCCCCCTTCTTATGGTAACTATGTAATATCCCTATTCCTTTCAGTCGTTAATCGATTCTCACCTAATCTGTATTTTATTTTAATATTGTGCAATTATTCGAGATAACGCTTTGTTTATTTTTGCCACCATATCAATGAGTTCTAGTGTTCATCTGATTGATAACAATTTAGTAATCTTTGAGAGTTTTGACAAAGCTGGAGGGAAGGGGAATTCCACCTTGTACTCTACTTTTTTAGCTGAAAAACGACTACCCCTCTAATATATTTTAACGAACAAGATGCTTTAGGTGATTAACCGCTTTACTTACCTAATTGGTCATATCGTCTGATGGTGACCACTGAAACTTTTAATACATACACCCAAGTTCACATTCACATATCTCTATCATTAATTAAACCTGCAAGACTTCTGACTCCAGTCTAGTTAACATTTCACCAACATCTTGTTTCCAATAATAGAAGTCAAGTATTATCTTTAAAACCGTAAACCAGACTTTCAGAAATTTAACTTATGTCATTTTTGCTTCGTCCTTCTAGCCTATCAAGATGTTAGAGACTTTACTTCCTCAAAACGGAGTCTTTTCTGTATTGCTCCATGGCTGTGAAAAGTGGGGTATACTGGTACAAAATATGGGAAGATTGCTAGTGTTTATACGCATAACTGAAATATGGTGGAACCAGCAAGTTAGTAATTCTGAGGATAGACTTCGTGTTCTATGTGGAAATAATTGATCTATTATTGACGATATCACTCTTCATCAACTTGGTTAGAGCATATCTTGCACATGCCTAGCAAGCGCCTACTCTGATGATCAGTTCTGGTTGGCATGAGAGTAGGTTGGAATAAGGTTAGGGTTGACTATTCGAAAACATTTCGTCAGTCCATGTAGAAATTAACTGTTAGGCTGAGCCATATCAAAAGATTTGGATTTCATGACTAAGTGTCACTCAAAAGTCTCGATCTAGAGTCGGAGACATTATGTAGCATGACCCGAAATCTATTTTCGTGATACAGTTAGATTCGTTTTTTGTCTTCCTCAAAATCATGAGTTTAATGTCATACGGTACTATTCATTCTTCGATTTAATCGTTCCTTCTGAACCATGTTTTTTACTTTTATATTTCCATTTTAATAGTTGTTGCTGCTACTCCTTTTCCGCTTTTCACCTTGTTAATTTTTTCTCGCCCTCTTGAGATGTGGTAACTCGAATTGATGTCAACATAGTACATGTAGTGTCAAGTCACTCTTACTAGTGGACACATTGCAACTTGATCGGTAGAATTCGACCAGCACTAAAAAGTCAGTCAATCAGCTGCAACGTAGGACCAGGCACATATATGCATCGGTCCAAGTTGCCATACCGCATTAGCACACAAGATAAACACCGGATTCATAAAAGTAGTCACATCAAAGGTAGTAGTATATAAAAGAAAGATTGTGTATAAGGATATAATACAGAAAAAAAGAATTAGTTATTGTTGCTACCTTGACGTGGTGGTCGGGCTTGCCTATCGTGATGAAGCAACTGAGCTACATTGGCTGGAACAACCGTTCCTTAAAGTCCTACCATGCCAGACAGGTCAGTTGAAGAGCGGTAAGACTAAAAGCAACAAATCCAAGGTCCGAAGGCGAAGTCGTACTGCTGACTGTACAGAGGTGTGACGGCAGTAAGGTGTTTCCTTCAGACAACCAGCATGACAGCGATGCTGCCTTCCCATAAGGAGAAGTGGGGTTAGAAAAGGTCGACCCTAAAAATGCACACCTTGCCTCATTCCACGGATATCCGTCTCCAGCGGTAAGGTCTCAACAAGTACGGAGCTAACACAAAAACTACTCATAAAAAGGTCGTGTGTGACCGACCTCAAGCAGCTGTCTCTTGGGCACTGCGGTCACGCTCTCAGGTCACTATGACCACCTCTAATCCAATTTCCTTTTCAGGTACCTCCAGGAGAACCCTTCCACGGTGTAGGCAACCGGGAAGTGATAACCGCCCTCATACCCCTAACAACACTAAAAATTACTTACTTACGCCTGTCACCCCTCGTGGAGAAGCATAATCTGCCCACCAACATTCTCCATCGAACTTTGTCCTGGACAATCTTTTCCAGTTGTTACTTATTCTTTTGATGTCTCCCTCGAATTCCCGACGCGATATGTTCTTCGACCTTTCTCTTTTCATTTTCCCTTCAGGATTCTAAGTAGTTTGATGATTTCCTCAGTGTATGTCCTATCCACTTCCGACGCCTCTTCTTAATTTCCTCTTCAATTAGTATTTGGTTTGTTCTCTCTCGCAGTAGGCTCTTGCTGATGACATCTGGCTAACACATAGTAGTTCTCCACGTATCAGCTTTGTACAGCAATGTAGTGATGTTCGTATTGAGGATTTCGGCTGAAAATCAATTTGAGCTCTATATGTTCTTCAGTTGTGGGGATGCTGACCATTCTTTTTCAATCTTTGCCTTTACATCTACATCAGATTCTCCTTGTTTATCGATGATGCTACCCAGGTACTCGAAAGTCTCGACACCTACCACAGCTTCGCTAGCAAGTGTAATTGGGTTGATATTCTCCGTGTTGTATTTCAGGACCTTGATTTTTTTCCTCGTTCATCTATGACACTGCCCAGGTACGTGAAAGATCCCACATCTCCCAGAGTTTCGCCGTCAAGTGTGATTGGGTTGGTGAACTCCGTGTTGTATTTGAGAATCTTTCTTTTTCGTTTATGTATGTTAATTCGTACTGATGAAGAGGCTGCTGCCACACTAGTTGTCTTCATATGCATTTGTTCATGTGTGAGATAGGAAGGCTAGGTCATCTGCGAAGTCCCAGTCGTCTAATTGGTTCTGAGCTATCTATTGTATGCCGTGTTTCCCCTCAGATGTCGAGGTCTTCATAATCCAGTCGACCACCAGAAGAAAAACTGGGAGAGTAAACAGCTTTGTCTGACTCCGGTCCTCACTTCTAATGCATCTGCATCTTTTCTTGGAGCTATTTCTGCTGTCGTTTCTAAGTCTCCCACATATTTATGCCTGTCAGCTCTAATGCTCTTCTTCATTAGCTTGTTCACTTCAGTGTATTCAGCTTGTGTCTTGATCTTCTCTGCTCGCATTCGGCTGTTGTTAATTGCTGTCATGTTCTTCCCTTCTTGAATCTTGTCCAGCATTTTCATAGAGGTCCACTCTGTATGATGATGGTTCTTGAGACCCAGCTCTTCCTGACATGTTGAGGTTAGTGTTTCTTTGATCCCTTTCCAGTTGTCTTCTATCGTAGTTTCTTATTCTTTCAGTATTTCTTGTAAGGTTTGGAACCTCTTGTTGAGAGTTATCTTTAATTGGTTGAGTTTGTTAGTGTCTCGAAGGAAGGCTGTATTGAACCTTTGTACTTCAGTTTTCCCAGTTGTGCAGTGTTTCTTTAGCTTCAGTTTCGTCTTGGCCACAACCAGGTGATGATCTGGTTCTCTCGTCTTGAGTGATGCAAATATGATCTGTCTGGCCAATATGATGTATGTCGTCTTTTTTGCGTTTTTTAACCTTCCTAATAAACGCTAAGAAGGACTTGACATACATGATATTAGCCATTACTCAGTGATTAGTTAATTGTGAATCGGTATTCTTTTGCACCGGGTGTTTGGTTGCCTATAACTAAATGAACTTTTTCTAAAAGATTTCGTTATCTTGACTTTTTTGGTCATGTTCTGTTTTGAATTGTAGAGATTTTACCTTATGCAGCTTCAAATTGTTCCATTCAGATGGCTAACCTATTTGTAACGTAAAAGTCTTAAACTAAGTCACCAATATTATTGTTTTGAAATTGACTCACTGTGATATTATTTATTACGAATGTTTACGATTTGTTTTAGAATGAACAACTGTTCAACGAGGCTGCAGAAGAATATACACGGACAGTTGAGCGTTTAGAAAACAAGTACATGTAAGTTGTGTAAATGTACTTTAATGTGTAACACCTATTCATCAAAATTATTCTGTCAAAATCTGTGATTTATTACATTTGTATGGGTTGAGTCTTTACCAGAAGTCTTGAATTTTTCCACTGATATTTAAAAACTGTCGAGGTTTCTTTATCTAAAAAAGTGGTTTTCCTTGTTATCATTATGAGATAATGGGAAGTAGTGAGTTGGGTTATATCTGATTGCACAGATTTATTTTTGGGATAAAAACATGTTGGTAAAGTTATGCTTCTAGATGTTGACAGTCCTTCATTGAAATCTTATAAGTATTTGTCGTATGTCTGTGGGATAATTTTAATTTCTCACTAACTGCTGTGTAAGGCAAGGCTTCTTACTTTCATTCTTCTGGTGGTTGACTGGATTATGAAGACCTCTACATCTCAGGGGAAGCACGGAGTATGGACATCTTAGATTTCGCAGATGACCTGGTTCTTCTATTTCATACCCGGCAACAAATGCAAGTGAAGATAACTAGTGTGGCAGCAGCCTTTGCAGCAAAAGACCTCAACACACACAAGAAAAAAATCAAGGTCCTGAAATACAACACGGAGAATATCAACCCAATTACACTTGCTAGCGAAGCTGTGGTAGGTGTCGAGACTTTCGAGTACCTGGGTAGCATCATCGATAAACAAGGAGAATCTGATGTAGATGTAAAGGCAAAGATTGAAAAAGAATGGTCAGCATCCCCACAACTGAAGAACATATAGAGCTCAAATTGATTTTCAGCCGAAATCCTCAATACGAACATCACTACATTGCTGTACAAAGCTGATACGTGGAGAACTACTATGTGTTAGCCAGATGTCATCAGCAAGAGCCTACTGCGAGAGAGAACAAACCAAATACTAATTGAAGAGGAAATTAAGAAGAGGCGTCGGAAGTGAATAGGACATACACTGAGGAAATCATCAAACTACTTAGAATCCTGAAGGGAAAATGAAAAGAGAAAGGTCGAAGAACATATCGCGTCGGGAATTCGAGGGAGACATCAAAAGAATAAGTAACAACTGGAAAAGATTGTCCAGGACAAAGTTCGATGGAGAATGTTGGTGGGCAGCCTATGTTCTTCCACAATGGATAATAGGCATAAGTTAGTACGACGCAAAACTGACTTATTCAAAATCATGTCGTTATGACATGCAGTATTTTTGTATCGTCATTTTTCTGAGGTCGTTCGTGACCACTGCTTGTTGCATGGTGTTACAAACATTAGTTTAAGTCTACTTCACATGTGGAAACTACACTAAAATGATAGAATGTATATGTTTATTTACATCCCATAACTCTATTTATAATGAATTGTGGAATTATCCACTTACCTAACAACTTCAAATCTAAGTATCAGAGTGCTAATATTCGTTTCTAATTCCTGAAATTCGATAAACCATGTTGTATCATGGTGTTTTATTTCATACAGTGATCTTGACCGTTCTAAATGAATATGTACATAGTTCACGAGTTGCATATTTACATTTATTGTCTACTTCGGTGGTTTACATATGTCCAAAGTAAAGTAGCAATGTATTATTTAAACTATTCAGATGAAATGAATTATTTGCGTAATGGTAAAGCAACACATAGCTTTCAATGCTTGGTTTTAGAACAATTTTCGTTTTTTATTATAGGAGGCCTACTCCTGGGGGGTGTTGTGCTGCAGCTGAACAAAGAGTTGAAGATTGCTATAAGCAGAATCCTGGAAAAATACTTTTGTGTTCCAAACTAGTTTCAGAGTATGATCGTTGTGTACAAAATTTCCTTGTCGTAAGTGATACTTACCTAAACAACCTAGTTAGTTCCAAGTTTTGTTGCTTTTTAAGTATTGATATAATCTAATTTACAAAGGTTAGATATAAATCTGTGACGCCATTTATATGTTTCTTAAAGTTTAACGAACTTGCGATATGTATGTGTGGCGGCCGTAGCCACTAATAACTTGGACACTGATCTTTAGTCATTCTTGTAATGAGTATTAAACAAGATAAATTATGGATCTCAAGATATTTTGTTGGCTGCCGCCAAATAAATCCGAAAGGTAACTTGGAATTTCATCATCAGTGTTCCCCAGATCCTCAAATTACAGCGTTTAACGGATTCAGGAAAATTATGCATATCGGTAACGAGATCACACGTTAATTTGAATAGCATCCTAGGAATGTGTAAAAATGTTGTGTATTAGAATCACTACAATCTGCAATATTGCAGAACAAAGAAATAAGTAGAAAAGTAAAATAAAGTAATGGACGAATGAGCAAAAGTAACAAGATGTGAAATCCAGAGGGAAGTAATGTCCATGCGTATCGTTTCGATAAAGTTAGCCGTATTCCCCAGATCTAAATACTGACTTCTTTCGTTAAGCCCCCAAATGCCCTGGTACGGCCGAGAGTGGGGAGAGTCAGCTCTCCCTCTCGAAATGCTCTCACATGGCCATGCGTATATAGCCTCTGCCAGGGAAGTCCTACTCACTGCCTTCTCGTGGCGGGGGTGTTGTTTACAAAAATGAGAGGACGAAAAGCGAATGTCCGGCGCTTTAACCGGACCCCAAACCAATGGTGCACATGGGATACAGTATCCTGAAGGAACAAATGGCGTATGAACCAATCGTTGGTCACCGGCTACCATGGGACTGCATCTCCTCACGATGCTCCACTGCCTTGTGGGTCAGACGTCCAGGTCGAAGGCTCGGAGTGTGGCCCTCTAAGAAAACCACCTGCTTCGGTTTGGGCACCCGGGCAGTATCACAGCCCTCACACAAATCAATTGAGATTTGTGTGGCGCATATGTATTTGGTGCCTCCCTGTACCTATACTTATGTGTTAAAATAAATAATCTTTAGTTGTGATAACCCTACTTAGTGTTTTCACTTATCTATACGATTGGTATCACGACTTCCTCTGTCAACCAGTATAAGCTTTCAGCTGAGTTGTACCACAGTTGGTTCAGGTTTTCCACTTTATAAACTTTTTGTCTGGCAGCCTCATTCACTAGCTACGAGGAATGGTTTGAAGACACCTATCTTCTAGCTTTCTTTTTCTTAATTGTCAGCTTCAATGACTACGTTTTATAGTTGTGCAATAAGATGAAGTGGTTTGGACAAATACGACAAAAAGCACTGCTGTAACCAACTAAATTGATATGCAGTAAGTAGCAAGTGCTAGTTTTTATTCTCAATACAAACACAGAAACTGAAATACAGATAAGCAAAATACATTTTAGCAATGAATAGGACGAGAGATTTAGGTTTTAATATAATATGATAGAATTAACTCATCCACCACGTTCTTGGGCATGAGTCACACTAAGTATGAGGGCTGATGACACTACCCGGTTGTCTAAACTGAAATCGATGGAGGGTATTCGAACTTGGAACTTACTGACTATAAGTCGAATACTTTAAACATCAAGCCCCCCTCCCTACTAATAGATAAGCAACGTCATGAAACAAATTACCTACCTTTTAATCACTCATTTTTAAGTGTAAATTGTAATAACACATAAAGTGCAATTGTCTTTCTCTACTTATTTTTAGACTATGTCTAGGAAAGTGTCAAATGCTGCCTGAAATTAATACAATGCCACTTTGTATTTTATGGATTCCTATTCTAAAAAATGTTCTATAATTGTCCTACAAATATTGTAGCATGCCATTTTCAATTAAATGACTAGTAGTTGTAATGATTATCCTTGTACAAATTAAATCATACTTTATATGTAGTGTTATTTGACATTTGTTTCAATTTAATGTTGAATATCTAAACACAGGCCAAAACGATCTTAATTTTCAGCTAAGCAAAAGAACGAAACATTTCGTGGTTTATACTTATGTTAAAAGTGATCATGTTAGACTAAGATGTAGTTCTATTCAGTTGTGATCATTTATTAAATATAACATATTGAATACATGTGTTAGTGACTGAGTCCACACAAAACTGATGAGGTATAGCACTTAATTTATGAATCTGTTTTTCTAATTTGACCGACCTTTTCACTCGCTAGGTCGTTCTCAAAGTGGTTTAATCGTTACTTGAGTGAATATTTTGTACAGATCTTTACCAGTTTGTACATAATAACATCCCAATATTTTAATGGCTTAATAGTTTTGAAATGAAAAGATATACAAATTTATCAGTCTTTGTAATAACATTGGTTGAGGATTTCGTTTATATTTTTAAGTTATGCGAGTAACACTAATACAACTATCATGCTATCAGTTTGTCGTAATTCACTTTCTATCTGTCAAATAATAAATGGTTTGTAGATGTTAATAAACGTTCCTTATAATACAGTCTTTCACTCTGACTTTGACGATCCATATACTAACACTACTCAGTGAGCAGATAAAGCTGTATGTAAATTCATGTTACTATATCACAGCTTCGTACTAATGAATGATTTCTTAGCCTTTATATCAGTAAGATTACTGGATACCAGAAAAGGAACTAAGTGATATTCATAACTGTAGTAAAAATATTATGAAGCGAAAGATACGGGAATCGAGTGAAATAGGCTTTCAAATACACCAAGCATTCAAATGTTCATGATCATATCAGAACCAATAGCAACTTGATTATTGAGTCGTATATATCAAATTGAACAAGTAATTTAGTACTTGGAAATAGTTTGTGTGTGATATTTTATTATCTGTTAATAACCAGTTTGCTTATGAAATTGTTTTCTACCTTTGAAGAAAATGAAACTCAAGTTAACGTATTTAGACTAACATTTTAATACATATACGGTACAAGATAACATCCCTTACAAAAATCATTGGCTGAAGTTACAACGATTTTGATTGGTTTAGAAAGGTTAAAACTAATAAATTCTGGAGAAAGTTAATAGTAAAAAACCAAAGCAAGTAAACGACTGTGAGGTGACATTTGTCAGTAATAATCTTTCTAGCTAAATCACTTAAACACTTCAATTATCAATTTCTACTCGCTCACAGACACAAAATCAGTCTTCACATTTCGGAAAAAACATTAAGTAAATTCATGTTTGAATATTTTAGTTATATTTCCTCAAACCAAACATGACTTAAATTATATGTTCAGTGATGGACGAAAATTATCTTCAGATTGGTTCTATTTTCATTTAGACTCGACTTAACGAAAAGGCAGTATATAGATAGCTTATGATGGCAAAACATTAAGCCTGGTAGTTGGGTCTTATAAGCACATAAGCTGGTGATTAACCTGTAAAATCAGTATCCTACCTTTGATTATACTTCAGAAGACATTTATTCATGTTTACTTTTGTAGTGATATCTTGTATAGTGATATATTGTCTTACTGTTTGTGCAGTCATTTGGAAGAGATAATAATTTGGTCTCTTCAACAGTTAAAAACTGACTGTGCTGAAATATTGTACAGTCTACTGGTATATATGCCATTGCATTGAGGACTGACTACACAACTATTGTAGTGCTGGACATATGTTTCGTCCCAGTAGGAAGCGTTCTAGCATGACGTAACCATGGTTTCATCAAAGACCAAACCCATAGTCTTTAGGCCTTGCGACAAACACTTTACTTTCAAATCACTAAGCTGACATCCGACTATTTCAATTTCCAAACGTTAGCCAGCAGGATATTGAGTGACAGTCAACTATTATGATCGGTGATATCTGTTTTATCCTCTAACATAGTTGAATTCCACTTATCATAAGTTTCCCTTAGAACTTCAAAAATCCTTCTGGAAGTTAGCAAAATCATTGTTGAAATGCGAGGTTGTGAAGACCGTTCAATTTAAATATAGATAACATTGTAGGTTGATTTTTACCATTTTTTTTCAAATTAAAGTAGTTCATGGTGTATGCTCATCACTTAGAATATTGGTGAAAAGTTCTAACACGAACCAAATTATTCAGTAACTACCCGTCCTTAAAGTAACAAAAAAAGAAAATAGAACACATTGATAAAGAAAATATTCTCCATATTCAACATTTATTGGCTGTATTGTATTTGCGTTACTTTCCATTAATTAAAGAGGAAAAAAGCAACAAGAAACAGCCATATACGATTAATTAATCTAAATGTAGGGATATTAATGTGAAGTTCAATCGTTATATATTCATTTTAAATAAAAATAGAATAAGCCAAGTCATTTGTCTAAATGAGAAAAAGAAGTTGAAAAACTACTAAGAAAAACGAGTGATTTTCTATGTAAATGAATTATAATAGACTTTGTCGGAAAAAAAGGAAGTATTTGAATTCTATTTCTCACTGTAATGTTTTGCTTCTCTGTAATGTTCACAAAGATCAAATTAAAATGGTGCATATTTTAATAAACCGTCAACAATTTGTCGTGATTTATGCTCATTGCTATCAGTAAGATATATATATATCTGCAGAGGTATATGTATGTTATGCTTATGTACAAAAAAATAAGGAAGTAGATAAGTGTTAAATTAATCAACAATTGACAGTGACACATTATTATCATTAAGGTTTTGTAAAAATATCACAGCGGTACTAATTTTATGAGTAGTGTACAACAACAAATAACATTAAAATAGTATAGATAAAGATAAATATATTACTTAACATTAGTGGTAGTTCCCGTCTTCGGTTGTCTTTTTGGTTATTTTCTGCTCAGCAAGCTTAAATTTGTGTGGGAGTAAAACGTTTTTGATGATAATGAGAACTAATACTAACAAATAATATTCAGAGATCTTATTGTGTATTACTTTTGTCTTAGTTGTTCTTCTATGTGAAGTACTAATCAACATAGTTCTACTGGATTTGATTCCATGAAAGCTATTGGTGCAAAATTAGCCGTTGGTACATTCATAGATTTTGTTCTGTATAAATTATTACGTGGAAGTTGATAATCGGATATAGTATGAGCACGATGTAATGTTAAATTTGGCACAGTAGTTGATTTACTTCTTCTTTGTGGGGAAGTCTGATTTGATATTCATAATAATAAACGGATAAAAATCATCCTCTAAGTTAGTGTTTTCATTTGTTGAATCAAATAAGTTTATCTACCATAAAATTACAGGTATTTCAAACACTTCATTTATTTGGATGTAACATAATCTTGATTTTTGTTACAAAATCGTACTAAATGAAGGTAGATTGGAAACTAGGGAACACATGTTACGTTTAATATTAGTTTGTGATCCATAACTGTTGTACATCCGCACTTTTCCGAGGAAACAGTCTCCACAAACCTAACTCCATAATGAAATTTGCTACACATTATAGTGATAAACGTGACCATAAACAGAACGGCTCATTGGTCACTTTGTATAATCATTATTTTTATACTTAGTTAATCAGTTGTTATCTGACAGTATTCAATCTTACGACATTTAATCAGTCCAGAGACAGTGAGTTGTTATAACAGTATATCTTACATCAATCACTTTATCAGAATTAATATTAGCAAGTTTAGATCAGTAGTACGTTTTGACGGAAAACAAAGTTTGTTCAAAATATTGAGTCGATTATTAGATCTACCTATATGGATTAATAACAAATGCTATCAGTTTCATTTTGTCAGATAAATATAATGCCAAGTAAATTAGTTTAAATGCTATTACTCAAACTTTACTGCCTGGATTTTCTTTTATCAAATATTAGACATCAAGAAGCTTGACAAGGGTTTGTTAGCTAGCACATCCAGGTCGTTACTCTATGTAGTGTGATCGGACAACAAATTAATTACACCCTACCTATCTTCTTAGCTTGGAGTGCTCAATCATAAAGAATTGAGCCTGTAGTGTCTGTCATTATGTTAAGCCCAAATACCTTATTATTCTAACTTTCGGACAGCCCATTCTATTCATTCCATTTGAGTCACATTCTGACTTTGTTAATTATTCGCTTAACAATATCTTGACCGTCTTTATATAAGCGCGTAGGTGTATGTACTTTTCTTATCCCATTACTCATCACATGTCTGTAATTTATTTTTGTGTGCTTATAAATATTGATTAACGCTTGGTTAACAGGGTGTTGGCTTACCAGCCATCTCCACCGCGCGCCAATTCAGTTTCGCTTTCTCATCTTCGCATCGTTCCTCCGTTCGTTTGTCTAATCAACAATTATACAAAATATATGCATTCAAAACTCTATTCTCGTTATTTGACTTATTTAATTCCGTTATTAACTAACGCGATTTAAGTGAATGATTATATACGAGGATAGGCGATAGCAATCATTCAAATTGGAATCAGGTCACGGGCCACTAAAAGTTCAATGAATATAGCTCAGAATTGAGCGATTGGAGGTAGCGCACAGTAAACTCTGAACATAATTTTCGTGTATTCGACAGCATTATGCACCCATAATCTTGCGGAAACTGATGCTCCAAGTGAAACTCGGACTCAAGTCTTCGAGCTTCACATTCTGAGAGGATACCACTGAACTATTGTGGTGATAACTGACAGAATACCCATTTACGGATATAAGACTTAGCACAGTGATATATCATTTTACAACAATACAGTATTATGAATCAATAATGGGAAAATCTAGCTTTTTTACTAACATTAGTTTCTCCGTGTATTTCATCATAACGCATAAATAAAATTGCACTGTCCAAATCAATGACTGTCAGGCTTAAATGTTTTGGCGAAATATACAACTTCATCTATGTAAGAGGCACTTAATACGAAAAGATCCAAACTTCTTAAATATGTCTAGCAATTACGATGATTAATCAAGTACAATAACTAAAATGTTAGTCGACAGTTCATGTAAATTTCGAATCTGCCAAATACTTAGATTTTGAAGTATAGAAATAACAAAGCTCAACTAAACATGCATATAAATAACTAATTGTCTTCCTTTTTTCAACTTACTGTCCCATATTTTAATCGAACACGTAGTCTATGTTCACCACTATTGCCATTATTACTATCAGTATTTTGAACATTCAAAGACAACTCTTTCGCCGATAATAATTCTGAAATAGAATTTCTTATCGGTACATTTAATGGATTCGTTTTTGTTTCTACGATAGAATAATACGATCCAGATCGAGTGTGAATATCTGAAATTGATTGTGATAGTGTGGAACAATTTGATTTTTGACATTCAAGTGATAGACCATCTATAATTCGTGATATCGACTCATGGGATGTTTGTTTTTTGTAGGTGTCCGTTTGTCCAGATTGTATACTTTTATTGTTTTGTGTGAGTTTTAATGGAAGAGTCATTTTTATTGGATTTATTTGTAGGCTTTTATCATTTAAACCTTGAAATCGTTTAGCTCTGCGTTCACCTGTTTGAAATATAAAAACAAAGAAATATGATGTGTAATTTCTAGTTTTAAATGAATGGTTTCATAAGCATTGAACGCCATGTATATATATATATATATATATATATATATATATATATATATATATATATATATGTATATATATATATATATATATATGTATATATATATATATATATATATATATATATATATATATCAGTTGAAAATTTTGAGATAACTTCATCCGTTTCATCCTAATCTAAATTCTTAAACATCCAATAATTATATAAAATTGTAGTTATGATTGTCAGATCTAATGGTGAATACTTGGTCTCATATACATGTGATTTTAATTCATGGTTGTCTGCCTATTTTATTTAATGTCTCTCAAGAGTTTACTCACTTTTACTATTAACTTTATTCAATCGACTTGATAAATCAAGACTTTTCAAGAGTCATCCTTGAGTTAAATATTAATGAGTGAGCCATTATTATTAATTCAAGTGAAGATCAAAAGGTCCTAATTCGTTACCACTGTGAAACTATTAGGAGAGCAGCAAACCAGAATGACATAGATATTCAGCATTCATTGATTTTGAGTGGTTCTGCATCTACTGATATTCATAAGCTTTAAATTACATGAAACGGTCACAAAAGTATGTAAATCAGCCAAAATATAAAGAAAAATAGAAACAAAGCATTATATATATATAATGGTAATTTAACACACACATAGAGATAGTTGTTTACTGTCTGTTGTTGTATATTTTGTCATCAATAAGTTAGGATTGGATTCATATGAAACAGATTTTAAAGAATTGGAGTTCAATAATAATGGTGATTGAACTTTCAGTGACAATTTTCTAGGTGGCAATGGCGGCGGAACGTTAGCACCAGGAGGACGTGGTACAATTACTCCATTACTATTACCAGTGAGTTGATGACGACTACGCTGACTAGATGAATTGGCAGTTATAGGTATTTTCAATGGTCGGCATAAAGATGTCCCATTTTTCGGTTTATCCAAGTTCATATTACTATTACGCAAATAACCATTCACTGATTTATTTAAACATTTGTCTAAATGTTGAAGAGATGTAGTTGAACGTTTGGTCTAAACAAAAAGAAAGTATTATGTTAGAAGAAAAACAACAATACATTTATTATGTAGACCATAATCATCATTGGCATGATAAATATTTAAAGATGGTTTGAAAAATGAGGATAAACATCATTTTAATTATACAGGTATTCAATATAAAATTTATATTAGTTTTAGAGAGCATTTATTAATTAAAAATAAGATGGTTGGTTGTGTAGAAATGTTGAAATGACAATTAATTTTCAATATTAATTATCATTAGTTGAAAGACTAGAAATTACTGACTGACATAGATGTTTCGTTTAGGTTGGTGACTAGTTAACAGTGTACCCCATGATAATATACTCACAATTAATTAGTTCCAGATTGGAGTTCATGAAATGTTTAACTGAAATTTTTTATGTTGTAAAGTTAATGAAATAAAACTTGAGACGATAAATTGCTGAAGGTATTAAAAGAGAATTCACATATGTTGATACAGTCAGCTGATGTAAGCAAACAATGCATGTTTAACTAACGAATAATTATGCTATATATTGAGTTATTTATTCATAAAAATCAGCAAAACATTTTCGAGCAGGGAATTATTATTATTTTGTTAGGTAGAATATGAATCAAAGTTTTCATTGAAATCACTTAAAAAGACACAAAGGATAAGAATATTTCGATGAAATCTTTCTCTCAGAAGAACTCGTAGTTAGTAAAGTTTATAATGATAAGTCAGTCATTATTTTTTTACTAAAACTTTATAATTAAAGATAATGTATACCAATTAAACAATTAAACTTGATTCATTCGAAAGTAAATACACAAGCGATCAATAAGAAGAGATAAATACGGTCAATCAGAATCAGTCAGTCAGTCAGCTGCAACGTAGGACCAGGCATGTATATGCATCGGCCCAAGTTGCCATACCGCATTAGCTCAACAAGATGAACACCGGATTCATAGGAGTAGTTAATTCAGTGGTGGTAATATATAGAAGAAAGATTGTGTATAAGGAGATAGTAAAGGAAGAAAGAATTAGTTCCTAGACAGATATGAAGCGATTTTAATCTCTTAGTTTAAAGGAAGACAGAGAGTGTATACACCGACGCCATTGTGATCGATTCTGAGCCATGTCACCAAGAGTCTCCAACCATTGGTTACGATAGTCACGCGGACCCCGACCAGGCAGTCTGAATATCCCAACATGGCTCAGACCAGAAGTTAGTGACTTCAAGCACTGATGCCACGTTTTGGTTTGGCCGCCCCTAACTTTCTTCCAATTATCCCCTGCACTAGTCAGCATTGCGCGTCGTGGTAATCGGTGTTCAGGCATACGCAACACGTGGCCCAACCATCTCAGTCGATGAAGATTCATAACCTCATCAACTGATTTACCATCATTCCCTAATACCCTGCGTCTAACCTCACTATTACTTACCCGGTGATCCCAGCAGATACGCGCAATATTTCTAAGGCACCTGTGGCCAAATACTAGTAACTTACGAATATCTTCCACTCTTAAAGGCCATGTTTCGCAGCCGTATAGAAGGACGGAACGAACTGCCGCGCAGTATACTCGTCCCTTAATTGATAGACGGATATCTCGCCTTCGCAATAGATGACGTAAGTTGGCAAAGGCCAAGTGAGCTTTTCGAATCCGTGCTGAGATTTCGTCAGACACCAACCCATTAGGGCTGATCAGACTTCCAAGATAAGTGAAGTTGTCAACGCGTTCGACTACTTCACCCCCTATCCTTAGTTCAGGTGTTGATGCAGACCAGTCCTGAAGCAACAACTCGCATTTAGAGGGAGAGAAGCGCATTCCAAACATGCTAGCATTGTTGCTCAGTGCTACCAAAAGACTCTGCATTTCATCAGCGTCTTCACCAAACAGGACTATGTCAATCAGAATACAATCAGTATAAGAATTTTATTGAGATAAATCACAATAAAGTGAAATAAAAACGATATAAATGAACATTTTCATTTATTCAATATACAACCGTTTATGTAGACTTGAACACATTAGATAAATCCATATATTTATATTATTTATTCACTGTAGCGTTACAAAATAAGCAAACATAACTATTTTATTGTACATAAATTGAAACAAGTGAAAAGGAATAATAAAGAAAACAATAGACATTTACAAGACTAATGACAACTTTTAAAAATGATTGAGATCATTTGATTCATGTAAAGAAATATTTTGAAGCAACAGTATAATTCTAATAATTGTATAATGTATACAAAGTTGTATTTCTGAAATCCTGTGACTTAATGTTAGTCACTTCTTCAAAATGACTGAATTACCAGAATGTGTGTTAGTTTTATTTCGGTTATTTACATTGAAGAAGTGACTGATATGAAGTCACAAAACATCTGAAATACAATTTTCTACTCATTGGTTTATAACAAAAATATATTTATTAAAATCTCACATAAAAAATTTATTGTCAATTGTTCAAGCAAAAATTTCATAAATTTTGTTACTTGAGAAAAAACACTTACAAACTAATTAGATATTAATTAATTATTTAAACAACGTACATTCCCTTCGCTATACTTTCACCTCTAACAATTAGTTTTGATATTTTGTATGAAATAAACTTTGTGAATTATTTTTGAACTACTAATGAGTAAGCATATTATTTTCTTTAACATTTTTCTACTACCTAATGAGCTTCAACACCCAATGTTCGTAACATTATGATAAATAATAAAAGAAAGAAGAAAGCTAGGTAGTAAAGAGAATTACAAATTGAAAATGCTAAATTTTTCATACCAAAAAAATTGTAATGCATAAATAGTTAATGTACAACAAATGCATATATATTTAACACCGAGTAAACAGTAAATTCTAAATAACATTTCTATGACAGACAAATGGCATGTAATCTATCTTAATGAAATAATATTCAATTTAAAAAACGTTTAATTTAAATAAATCAAATTATTATGCGTTTTTGAAAAGTGGGAGAACGTGATAGACGAGTTGTTTAACTACTGACCAACTACATCTGTGAATGTGCATTTGTGTACATAGGTGTGATGTAAATCACAGCTGAACATATATATAAATATAAATATATATATATATATATACATATATATATATATATATATATATATATATATATATATATATATATATATATTAGCCTATTTTAGTGTGTCTATCTGTTCGTTTTCTTTGAGAAAATTTGTCTCAATCTTCTGAACAGAATAAGACTATGGACAGCTTTGTAAGCATCGTTAGTTACAAAATATTCGAATTGAAAATAATGATGAATTTGTCAGACAATTATTTCTTATTTTCCATACTTCATTCTTTTCTTGAGGAACTTCAATAAAATAAAAATAATTATCATTGTAGTATGAAGTCATTTAAATTTCTATTTATTCTGTGGAATGTCTTCAGATATCTATTTACAATCAACTATAATAAGAGTAATTACGTGATAAAGTGTCAGCTAGGTGCTGGATGCTTATGATTTGATATGTTTCGTGATAAGTATGGACCAAAGTTCGAGACAATATGTTGAAAAGGGTAGATATATCAAAGGCGATTGATATGTGAAAATTTTAAGAAAGGTACATATAGTTATTTATTTATGGCAAAGGAATATTGATGAGGACATCGTAAAACGTATGGAGTAAAGGTTATTAGCAATAGAATATAGATGTCCATGTATAAAAACGATTAACTAATAGTGAGCAGACAATAGGTAAGGGAAAAAGACTTTCATTAAAAAAATTAGGTTACTTCATATTATTGATTAGTAATGATTTTTCATTTTCGATTGGGGAAACTTAAAAAACACGCAAAATAAATTGACTTCACATTATTCTGCTGTAATTGTTACTCATAGTTTATTAAAAAATATAAAAATGTTCAAACTATGGATTCAGTAAAAATATGAAAAAGGATGAAAACTACTGTGAAGTGAATATGACTAAGCTGTTTCTCGTTGGATTGTCCATTATACGGGTTAGTCGAAGTATATAGACCAGGAAGTTTAGTATACGACTACATTCAATCAAAACACTCACTGCTAATTTACTAGAATCTAGGCTTTTAGCAACTCTGGTTCTCAGTAATGCCTTAAAATCACTTGTACATTTTAAGTGGTATAGCTAGAAATCAATTCGATCCTTCATTCGTAATTGTTGTCAACATCTTCTTTGATAGTGAAGATTTTTATTCAACTTGCTGTGCACTTTCTATGTACAGTAAAGCACAGCAAATTTTGTCTTAGTTGATCAGTATGAAAATAGAAGGGAGAAAAAAGGTTACGAACAAAACTGAATTACTAACCCAATCCAAAGATGGAGGATGTGGACGTGGAGGTAATGGTGGAGGAGAAGATGCAGATAAGCTATCAGTGGACGGGCATGTTTTGCGTCTAGCGTGCGCTAGTGAAGATGTTTCACCGAATACTGATGAGATAACACCAGCATCTTTTTCACTTTTGATACGATTTAATTTTGCGAATGATTTTGTGAAATCATTTTTTGGCTGTAATACTGACTGTCTTCTTTCATTAACAAGAGTTTGTGATTTTATTTGATGTATACTTTTTAACTGAATATGATTATTATTATGAAGAAAACGAGGTGGAGGAGGTCGTGGTGGCGGTTCACGTTTTAATCGTTTATTTGATTCCATATCAGATAGATTAAATTGATTTGATGGACTACTGGATGATTTGAATGAAGAATCTGAAGAACTATAATAAAATTTTGAGAGAGAGAAATTTGTAACAGAATCAGGCAAAACTAATGGACTGCTATTAGAAAGTTGTATATTTTATTGGTAAATGGGAAACATCAATGAAACAGTTTTTATCGACCTCAGTTGATTAATCGTACCGTAGTACGTATTTCCAAATAAATAAATAATGCAAAATACATAAGTGAAGTAACTTGAATAATTTGAAACTTTAAAAAATGCCAACCGTGGAAAAAATAATCGTTATTCCAAAAAACAATCGCATAAGAAAACATACAACTTAAAAAGGTTCAAGATCTTCGAGTGGTGTAAAGGCTCTCTAAGGTCCGACCTTCAGTGATGTTGCAAAATGCTTTACGATTTTGAAACTACACTTCGACCAATTAGGAGAGAACCTAAATAAATCAAGTGAATTTCATCACAAAAACAATGGTATCTTTTAGATTGTGGTAGTTTTGCTAAGTTTATTAGTTTACCATACCTTAGTATAGGTTGCTAACTTGAATACTATGAAAATATCGCTACAGAATATCATTTACCAGTGTGAATACGTTCCTTTCTGGGTCCTATTTCATGGAAGTAAATAGCTAATTAAAAAAATCCTTAGTTGCTTACATATTCTTCATCAACAATAGCTGAGTGTTAACGTCTCTGACTGTGGAGATGGTTGACGTAAAATCGGGTCTACCAGAGAGCATGAGTTTTCTTGAGGTTACATGTACACCTTGCTGAAGAATGTCAAGCAGCAGGAGACTTAGGTCCAGGGTTTTCTGACAATTACTTCCAACCACCACAATACATCTCGACATAGGGCACACGATTTTAAAACTCAAACTAGTGCTCACATTGAAACTTGATCAATCGAGGTCAATCAGCACTAGGAAGGACTTAATATACGTGACAGTAGCCATTACTTAGTGATAGATCAATTTTAAGTAAGCTATCTTGCTTATCTGGTTTATGCTCCTCCACGAGGAGTAACAGGCGTAAGTATCTTGCTTACCATTATCAACATCTAGAGGAAGATCATACTAATGAATCAGCTACTAATTGGGTGATAAGCATACGGAAACAGTCATAAAATATAGAATGGCTAGAAGTGACCGTTTTGTTGGAATTTACTGTTCAAAAACGAACAAGGAAGAAGAACTGAATTACAACTACAACTTGAATGAAATATGTATTTTTTCTCCCTTTTATACCTTTGAGCAGTTATAATACCTTTCTAATAATGAAATTCATTTTTAATGGGTGTTTTCAAATCTGACAAGCTTATCATAGCCAATGGAAAGCTTCCTGAAATACAAAAAACATTTATTAGCTAGACAAGTGAACAAAATGAAGTCATGCTATTTATGACGAAAGACTCGGACTATTTTTTACGTGTGACCACAGTGAGTATACATATGTGTTGCAGATAAGTTTGGTCACAGCAAAAAGATAAAAATAACTGGCTATGAAAGTCATTTGTAGCACGGGTAACAAAAAATTGAGCTTGTCACTTATCAACTTCAACGACGAATAGAAAATCCCAAGTTTCGATATGATGTACTTTCTGTGGATCGATTAAGACGTAGAACTACAGTGAAGATAAAAATAGAAAGTCACCTCAACTTACAAATATCTGAATAAGTCATTAAAAATAGCGGTTACATAAGCTAGATATTAACAATTAATAAAATAAACATAGGGCTAAACTAATCACCAGGGTGATTATTACTTTTTCCATGAATAAACAAAAGAAAGAACCACAACCTTTATAATACTTGGCAACATATATAATATGACTTACCGACTGTCAGCAGATTGTATTCCCAAATGATTATTTTGATAATTTCTAAAAAATTGATTCTTACTAAGAAGAGTCCCAGATGCGAAACTAGGTGTAGAATTAGCGAAACAAGAATTTGGACGATTTTGATAAGACGAATGATCTATATCCTGCATACGTGCCATTATCGGTGCATGCTTTGGATTTATATCCATTGAACCAAACTTATTATTTTTATACAAAACCAGTGATTGTCCAGCCTTTTTTATTTAAGAGAAATGAAAGAGACAAAAGAGGCTTTAGGTAATTAAAAAGATTTGACAACATGTAGGTGTTAACCGAGAATGGAGAGAAAAGACAGATAATCCAATTGTATAATCAACCGCTACTCTATCGTTACTTCCTGTTTAATTATAATTAGCTACAGGTTTTTGATCTCTCATACAGGTAGACTTCCTAAAAAAAATCCATGAATCTATATCAATTCAAATACATAAAGAGAATCTCCATTCTAATAGAAACTCATCAACTATTTATATCGTCCCCTCTAGAAAATTAAAAATATATAGAAAAATGTAGGGAAGCTACGGTGCCAGTCGAACCAACAAAAATGTGATTCACCAATCCGACCTTGAGGGGTTTGTAGGTGAGCACCTTTAAGGAGTCATGCATTAGGACGAAATGGTTGTCCACTAGGGTACCTAGCATATCGTATGCCCTGATGGTGTTCTTGTAACTTTCAGGTTGCCTGATCTGCCAAGGGCGATGGGACAGTGCTATTGTTGTGTGCTAAGTTCAAAGAGAATTGTATGCTATATGCATGCAAATCCACCCCGTTTTTGTCCTCTCAAATGCCCTGGTGCTGCTGAGAGTCCGATCAGCCTCTCGAAATGCTCTCGCACGGCCAGGCGTATATAGCCTTTGCCAGGGAAGTCCTACTCAGTACCTCCTCGTGTCCGGGGTGTTGTTTACCAAATGAAGAGGTTGAAAAGCGAATGTCCGGCGCTTTAATCAGGTCGGTGGACACGGAGAGTTCACCTAGGGGAGTTGCAAAACCCTGATCCCAAACCAATGATGCACATGGGCTGCAGTACCCTGAGGGAACAAATGGCGTATGAACCAATCGTTGGTCACCGGCTATCATGGGACTGCATTTACTTACGATGCTCTACTGCCTTGTGGATCAGACATTTAGGTCAAATTCTCGGAGTATGGCCCCCTAAGAAACCACCTGCTTCGGTTAGTTCACCCAGGCAGTATCACAGCACCCACACAAATTTAATTTGATTTGTGTGGCGCATATGTATCTGGTACCTCCTTGTACCAGTATTTATGTGTTTAAATAAATGAGTAATAATAAACAATGTTGTCCATTACTCCCTAGTTTTCAACTGAAATCAATCTGTCAAGAACAAAACCTGAGAATCTAGCAGTAAAACATTCAATAGTTCTGGTAACTAACATCTGTCTATATTAAGCGAATTTTATATATCTTTCTAATATTCTATTAATAATAACTAATTTGTGACAAATGAAATGATTAAAAATCTTCATTAGTAATAAAAAATATATAACTTATTTAACAAAAACAGGTTTGTATTAACAGCTTTCGGTTATACGTTTTTCGTGGGAAAACTGCCCGTTTACCCAAACCGACATAGAACAAAGTTTGAAATTGTAATCAATTTATTGAAAGTAAAGGTCTTTAGATTACTAAGCTATGACCTGTGAATTGGTAACGGATAACCATTAACATGATAATGAGACAGTTTTGTGTAATACCTTGTGAATTGACTAAATTTAGAAAATCACATTGTAGTACTTTATTCATCAACAAGATAACAGTACAGTTATCCTTTACATAATTTTAAATAGCAGTTAGTTAACAAAAGATTTTCAGCCGTATTTCTTAATCGATACCATTTATTTATCTATTTTTGATTCACATTATTCGAAATAAGCAAAATATTCATTTTATTGATCCTGAGAAATAAGTATATTCCATTACTATCTTTCAGGGATAAATTTAGTTTGTGATAGGAGTTAGAGTATTGTTTAACATATATTAACAGTATTGAAAGTTGAGTATATGATATATTACAACTTTCTTGTATATCAAATGTTGTTATTATTTTATCTAGAGAGTCAAGTAGATATTCGACTTTTAAGCGCAACTTGTCATTAGATAGATAGAGCTATGGGACTGTAGTTTAAGTTGAAGCAGTACAGAATGGTAAGCTGAAATTTAACTGTTTAAAAACTAGTTAAAACATCAAGTCCTTTTTTAAACACTATCAAAATGACAGAAACATATTACACACTAAAATGACAACGTAGTTACTGAAGTGATTAAAATATCAGAAAAAATCATGCCTTTCGTGATAAAATATTCCAGGTAAAAGAGCTTTCAGATTTGACACGTTTCGTTGACTCTGGTAATCCTTTTTGACAAATACGACCAGGATTTTTCAACTTTTTAGCTCGCAACCATTCTGGACTGCCAAAATTATATTTTTTATGCCCAAGCTTTAAATCATATTTAGTAGAACTTGATGCAATATTTGATAATGAACTTGTAAATATTGGACCAAATGATACGGTGGCTTTATAATGATATGTGTTTTTAGCTTGACCACGTAATTGAGACGCACGATTTTCAAATAAGTCAGTTTTTTGATCAGGTGGTCGTCTGGAACGTTGATCTAAAAACTAATTATAGATTGAAAATGAAAATAGGAAAGTGAGGTTCTGTAAGATCCTGTTATTACAGTCGAAATAGATAGACACATGATATGGTGAATTTTAAGATTTCAAGACTGATGTTAGTTGAATAATTATTTAATCAAATGGGTTGGCAGCGAATAATTAATTGAGCCTAGTTTGTGATTTCTCGACGGTCCACGTCATCAATGTCTCTCGTAACGAAAGCCTATAATGCCATAAAGAACACTTTTAAGAGTCGAATTTGAAATAGAAACTGGAAATATTTTATGATTAGACCCGTTGTAACAAATTTTATTGGTAATTTAATAGGATCTTCCAGCTGTGCAAAACTAATTTATTAACTAGAGTACAATTTAGAACAGATTGTAATGGAAATGTGTTTACTTCCTTTATATTGTTGAAAGCAAGCAAAAAAAACTAACCAGTTTACCATAACAAGAATTGTTCGGGTATAAAATTTCATTTGACGCTTTAGTAATTTATTAACCGTAACTTCGTTTCATCAGCTAATTTTGTTTCATCATTGTCAGTGAAAGCACAAATAACATCTTCAATGAGAGTGCAGATATCACATACATACACAAACGTAGTCAAAACTATTTTCCAAAAATGAAGTACAATTAAAAAATGACAAAAAATCTCAATATCAATTAATGAAAATTCCAAAATGTATAACGTTAACAGTTTAATGATTTTAAAATACGCCACAATGACAAAAAGTAATTAGACTAGATACATTAACATGCTAAAACAAATTCAATCATTGAAAAAAAAACTGAATACTAACAACCTTGAAGTGAAACATTTGATATAATACTTATCAATGTAATCTTTAATTCTCAATTGAAACGTATTTATATGTAACGTATGATAGATAATTTTACCATAACGATTATTTTCCTAACCACTTTTCACAATGATTATCAACAACAAATCATATTTATTGTGAATTAATGTGAATGAGTTTACTGATGTGATTTGTTAACAAAAATAAATATTTTTTTAATTTAATGAAATAGTGAATAACGGTAGAATTCAAAATGTATGTTTTGTTGTATTTGAATCTTATCCGTTGGATGTAACTTCATCCCAGTATTAATATTCACAATGAGGATGGAAACCAGTACCTTAAACAGCGCGAACAATAAACCCTTTATAAATGAGAGTAAATACATTTTTTTGAAAGTGTCATTATTAGTTGATAAAATATCATCAAGTGCAACAATGAGTAATAGCATATTTGTCTAATTGAATTTTGAAATTTTTATGAAAAAGAATCTATTTACAATGTTAAAAATATATTTGGTTAAGTTAATTAATTTTTTTATGTTAACATAATAGACTACTAATTATCCTTTTAAAACAGTTATATCTGACTATTATCAAATGTAATGTGTTACTTATATGCATAATTATGGAATAAAGGCAGTTTCGAAGTCGAACGACACACTGAATGATGCTGACGTCGAAGAAAAAGATTCAATATAATTAAAAATTACGTAATAGATGTTGTAAATGAACTTGGATCAATTTGGTTTTATGGTTAAACTTTTATGTAATTCTTTAGACATTTGTGACTTTATTTTTTGAAGTTTCATAATAGAAGGCCAATCCATAAGGTGTCCATAAATATTTTGACACACATCGTTAAAAATAAGGATATAAATAGTGTCATTTACAGTGCTATGTAGTTAAAGACATCAAACAATAAATTATTCTGGCTTGTGATAGACTCTAATTCTTGAAAAATATTCTTACAAATGTCAACTGATCTTTTTAAGAAGTAAAATTCTCTATTTTTGTGTTCAATATGGTGTTGTAAAATGTGTTTTATCATTCAGATTTGAAATTTTGTTATCCGAGAAAATAAGCCGACATTACTAAACACTAACATGTTTGATAGTTATTAGAGAGCCGTATTAACTGTTAATACTATTAAACATTATATATGATAATATACATTGAAAAACTGGTCAAATTTATCAGTATAGGTGTTGTGAAGATTACTAAGTTCTTGATTAAGATCATGAACCGATTGATGTTAGAACACCATTGAAAACCTGAAAGCACTGGTCGGCAGTTTCGTCTTATTATGGGACTCTCCAGCAGTGCGCATCCATGATAACGCTCGCGAGATTCGAACCCAGGGCGCTCAGTCTTGCGCGCGAACGCTTAACCGACTGGACTACTGATTCGTGAGAGAATTCTCGGAGTTCTCTTGAAAAGCCGTCATCAGTGTGGCTAATCCGTGTCAGGTAGAAACAGGTATCTACTTCGGTACAGTGAAAGATGGTCGCGCAATTTCGTGGATCGATTGAGGTTAAACACTAACACCATCGGATGCCGGCTCAGTGGTTCGAATCCCGCGAGTGGGGTCATAGATGCGCACTGCTGAGGCGTCCCACAATGGAACGAAACGGCCGTCCAGTGCTTCCAGGTTTTCAATGGTGGTCTAACATCAATCGGTTCATGATCTTGATCAAATTTAGTTCATTACAATAAGCATCTCTATGATTAGTGATAAATAAACAAAAGGTTATTTTAAAAACAACAGTCAGTAATTATAAAAGAACTTAGAATGATGATGAACTAGAGTAAATTACCTCAGACATCTTACCAACAGAGCAAGAGAAGAAAGCAGTTAAATAAAGAGCAAAATAGAGTGAATCATTTTATTTATAACGGAGAGCTAAAGAAAATATAAGAAACACAATTCAGATTGAAAAATAGACTGAAATACTTAAAAAAACAGCAACATTTTAATTCGAATTCTAGAAGTCAACAAAGAATGAATGTATTAGTGTCATTGTGACTGTGATTTCGCATTACGTCACCTGAACAAATGACTTAATGCTATTGTTGTTTTGAAGAAAACTTTTATCTGAAATAACGACGAATACTCTACTAACTACTAACTAACAATAAAAGTCTGCAAGAATATACACACAGTTATCAAAAAACAATAACATAGTTCAATAAAATGTATTAATGTTTGTACTCAACGATTATTACTTGAAAGCTATACACTATAATTTGTTAAGAGCATACAAGTAAAAGTAACATCATCACTAATCACATGTGCATCATACTTCAATGTCGAAACCAATCAAATAAGCTGTCAGGATTTTTCTGAGAAGGAATGACATCATCGAGACCGAAAATCTTCAGCTATCGCTTTATATGCATGTGTAGATTTGTGTGTGAACCTCAAATTATTTGCATGACTAAAATATTTACGTAATCACAAAAATTCATAAATCTTCAAGTGGTTAACACATTTAAAAAAAAATTGTGACATAACATCCATTAATGAAATAATCGAAACCTACATATAGAAAATTTATATAATTTGAAAGACTTACCAACTGAATTGTTTGTGATTCAAACATAGATTTCAGGAATGATTCTAAACCAGGACAAGATTGGCAAGCGATAAGAGCGTTTAAATCTACTTCAGGATTTGCATCTCGTCGAACTAAACATTCTGTATAACAACCTGTTCGTAGACAAAGAACAAAACCGGTTGGAAAATTAATTTAAATTTTTCACGTAATTATTGATATATTGAAAATAAACAAATAGAAATGAATTGATTATTAAGAATATTACAGAAATTTCCACGGTCTTAACAACAGTGGATAATAATAGTAGTGTGATGTATGCTGTTCGTGTCAACAGACATAAGTAATATGTAATACTAATCGGAAGTAGAAAACCTGACAACAGAAGGCTAAGAATATCGAGTTGAAGAGAATAGAAAGGAATTTTGAATTGAAAGAATCATAAACAATGTGAACGACAAATGATGAAAATTTGCAAATGAAATATGCAATGTATGGTTTCCAATTTTTTTTTGAAAGAATTCTGTAATTTTGCACTAAACAATAAATTAGTTGTAACCACCTGTGTTCTCGCTCACTATAGCAGTACGAAATAATCTTCTTAAAAAATAATATATCGTGAGGATTTGAAATTAGAATATAATTCATGGTCCCCAAACTGATTTTGTAACAGGTTCACAGTTTAATCCATTTGCTGATTACTTACTTACTCCCGTTACCCCTTGTCGAGGAGCATAACCCACCCACCAGCATTCTCCATCCAACTTTGTCCTGGACAATCCTTTCCAGTTCTTTCAAGTTGTGATTCACCTATTTCATGTCTGCCTTTATTTCTCAACGCAGTGTACTCTTTGGCCTTCCTCTTTTTTGTTTTCCTTCAGGATTCCAAGTCAGGCTTTGTCTCGTGATACAGTCTGGTTACTTCCTCTATGTATGTCCTATCCACTTCCAACGTCTTTTCCTAATTTCCTCCTCAGATGCTATCTGGTTTGTTCTCTTTCACAGTAGGCTGTTGCTGATAGTATCCGACCAACGGACATTAAATATCTTGCGTACACAATTGTTTATAAATACTTGTACTTTTTTAATGATAGTTGTAGTAGTTCTTTGAGTTTCAGCTCGGTACTGATAGATGACGTGAAAATGTTTTATTTAAGAGTATACAATTTCCATCATACCTATGATTGCTATATCTTAGTATTAGTTTAGAAAAACACAACAGAGATACAATTATTCCACATTACACACTGAATAGATTTTATTTTGGAAAATATGTTTTTTCTTAGTCAAAAGTAGTTGCAAATGAGAATTTTCAATGACATACTTCACTAAGTAAGAATATGGATTGAAATTTATATAAACTACAAAATCAAATAAAAATAAGCAAGTTACGTTTAAAATGTTATCGTACAAAATAATTTAACTTAATTTATGAGTAAATTATCATATTAGAATGTATTAGAGTGTATACACCTATGCTATTGTGATCGATTCAAAGCCATGTCACCAAGAGTCTCCAACCATTGGTTACGATAGTCACGTGGACCCCAAACAAGTAGTCTGCATCTACCAACATGGCTAAAGCTAGAAGTTAGTGACTTCAAGGACTTATGCCACGTTTTAGTTTGGCTGCCCTTAACTTTCTTCCAACCATCCCCATGTAGCTCTGAAGTTCTGCTTGTTGCATCGTTCTACCAACAATCCTCTTAGGTTACAACAAAAAGGATGATTGGAACAGAATGCTGATTATTATTTAGTGTGGTACTAAATTGCTTATTCATGATATCAATATGAAATTATCAAAATCACAATTTCGATGTCATTAAAAAGTGGTGGAGATGTATTCACTCGATGTATTCCCATAGATCCTGATATTCGAAAGTACGTTATACATTTTGTTATTCTACGAATTCATTATTTTTTCTTGAATAACGTCGTGCATACCTAATATTTTCTACGACTATTACTACTGATATTGTTAGCACTTCTGTTTTAACACTTGACTCTATAATTTCGTCTCACTGTGTTAACGCGGTATGATAATCTGAATTTATGCAACCATATTCTAGGTTCTACATTTGTTGCGTATGACTGACTGATATGGACTAAACTAATGGAACCGAAAACTGATGACGGACAAACAATCACTGTAATCTACCCTGATGACGTGAACAATGGAGCTATAACGGCACAAACCCCGAATTTAATAAAGAATTTACATTTTCGTATAAAACAGAAAGGCTTTACCATAAAACAGCGTAATCCAGTCACAAAAATCAACATACAACTTCAATAAATCTCTTTCAGAAACAACTTCAAAGTTAAAGTGGGATAGTGAAATTCAAGCATTTCGAAATTAACAAGTAAACAAATCAAATATAAAACATTAGTAATAGAGTGATACAACCATCAAAAAGGATGAACAAACTGTACATTTGTACCAAAACAGAACATTAGTAGTTAATTAACCATGGTATAACACGATAAACAACTATCTATAGTTATGAGTAAGGAACTCTGGAGAACTCCATATACTTATAAACAGTCAGATTTATTATATTCCTAAACGGATATATTCTGATAAATCTTTCTAAGCGTTTACAAAATGAACAAGACAACTAGTACTCACTTACCTAAGAGATTAACAATCAATTCAAAAAATGGATGAGTTAATCTTTCGAAACATCTAAGTATTTCACCATTAACTTGTTTCCAATCACCATTTTTTAGTTTTTTTGAATTCATCGTCTCATTTAATTGTCGTTGAATTTCTTTCAATTGATGATGTAAAAAACTATACTAAAGGAAGAAAATGAAATCGAAATGAGTACAATAACATGTGATTAGTATTCTTTTGATTAATATCAGTAGTATTAAGAAATGTATAGTAGGATGAATCCTTTGTTATTCCTTCGTGTGACTTTGTTGATGAGTGCTACCTAGTATGAAGCCTAGGCTTAGGATATAAAGGAACATGATATTGATAATTTTTTAGAGACCAATTAGTGTAAACGTAACTTTTTGTTGATGTGTATATATGAAATAAAAACTTTATAGTAGTGAGAGCTAACTTCATGATTGAGTTATTATTTTTAAAAAGGTGAGACCATTTTTTATGAACTTAAAGTAGGAATAACGACTAAAGCAAACCAATATGAATCCATTAAAATTTTGTCAGCTCTCATTAAGTAGTCACAACTTTATTCGTGTCACGTCCTTGATCTGTCTATCCACTTTCGGTGCTGAGTATAACTTGTCTAATCTAGATTAAGACCGTGACGCGATAGGCTAACCGGTTTAACCTTGAGGCTAGTACGCGTGAGTTCGAAGTGGGGTAGAGAGAAGAAAACCATCCTATCACCTGATTAGCTGACAAGCACATGAGTGAGAGAAGACAAGTGAACATTACTTGATTTATTCTCAATTCCAATCTAGTTTCCGGTTTACCGAATTCAGATTAGTGTAGAAAGGTACATGAATAAACAGATGACTAACCCGACCTCGCAGGGGCGAGGTCGGGGATGCGCAATGCTGAGGAGTCCCATAATAGGACGAAACGGCTGTCCAATGCTTCCAGGTTTTCCATGGTGGTCTAGCTTCAACTGACTCATGATCTTAACCATTAAAATACATTTATGTCCAAAGCTGGGAATTCGAGTAGAAAATCGAGTACAAAATGATACGTTTAAATTACAAGAGCTTTGGAACAAAAAGGGGTATGGCAGTGAATCATACACTAGACGAAAGCTTATGATCTGTATAATAGATTAGGGGTAAAAATAAAAGTTACTGTTTTACAAGCTCTGAATTAAATGAAATAATGTCCCGAAAAATAGCTTTCGTAGTTTGTCAAGACTTCTTATTTCTTTGTTCACATCAATTCGCAATGTAGGACAAAATAGCATAAAAGAAACAATATTGGAAAATAAAAAAAAGTTGAAGAGATAAGGGTCATCAGCATTATGCAAGGTAAGGTTATTTAATCTTAGATTTAGAAAACATAAAGAGAATGAAACAGTAGTTGTTTAGAATTCGAAATTTCATATGATATTTAGGACAATAATTATTGAAGATTTGGAGATTTACATAAGTTCTAAGATCTAATTAATTGGAAATCACATAATGAAAGAAAAGGTATGTTTAAAGTAGATTGAATTACAATTAGCTAAGTGAAGAATGTATATTGTGGTAAAAAAAATAGAAATAATTAAAATGATCAGTTTAGTTGAAATTTGAAAACTCACAAAGAAACTAGCTCAAATCTACACATAGATTTTGAGAGAAAGTAGAAATTTTCAATCAGACATGTGATAAGAAGTTAAATAGAGAGAAGTAATATCTAATTAAGAACTTTTTACTTAACTAAAGTACTTTAAACATGAACATTTTAAAATGAGTGAAAATTGTCGACAGTATGAGCATTAGCGGTAATTCACTGTTCAGTGAGCTGCTTTGAACTAATAAAAATGATTTCACATTTTAGTATCAAGTAGATTGATTATTTAATATACATATTATCGTACATTACGAATAAGACTATGGGTAGCTGAAAAAACCAATGAAATCATAATGAGTTCGTATTACTATGATTCAATTGTTGTTACTGATTCATTAAAAATTAATGTTTTTTTCAAAATCTTTTAAGTCTAATGAAATCGATGAATTGGACTTTACTGAAGAAAAAAGAAGGCGATTCAGAGAAGAAAACTTCCTTTTCGACGATTTCCAGAAACATTTCCTCTCTGAAATGACTTCTTTCTACTTCGATAACACAATAGGTCTCATTCGTTATTTAAATTGAATTTTATTCGACAAGTCACTTTTGTATTTTATTCAAGTTAAAGTTTACTCAAAATTTGACTAGTAAACAACATACAATAAATTTATAGAAATCAATATATTGAGACAGATTTCGATCTATTTTAGGTGTTGTATAAATGTAAATATGATCCCTCTTTTTTGCTGGTTACAGCGAATACACTAACTGATCAATCATTATATGTTCATGTTCAAAATTCGTTATTACGTAATCGGCTTCTGGTTATCAAGAAAAAGTAAGCATTATTTTGGCAAATATCTCATGATTATGTTATATAGTGATCGAGAAAAAAGAAAATATTACAAGCATGTGTTATATAACCATAATTTTGTAGATACTATTCTGTTAATGTACCTTATGAATAATAAACGCGTATTTTTTATAACTGAATAATATTACATTTTCTGATAGACACATATGATAGTCGGGAGGAGAGACTGGTCTATAAAAATTCATTACATATAATTAAGTCAAATAGTTACAACTTCAATACTATTACCGTAATATTGTTTAATGTAACATTAACTACAGACATAGGAATAGAATATAAGCATGAATATCAAGCTGTACGATAAATATATTAAAAACGAATGATTAGTTTACAGTGGACTGAATAAGAAGTTACTCAACTATACTTCTCAGCATGAAATAACCTGACTTCAGAGTCAATAATGAGTATCTAAATTATTTTAAATCGTTGAATGCGAACAGAGTCATTTACTGTCAGAAATTCAGTGGTCACCTTTATTTTAAAGATAGAAGATCTTTAATCAAAATAATTTATAATGTTAATTCTATAAACTGAATAAAAAGCAATTCGAATTTTCAAGGAATATTTTCGCTTTTCTTTTTAAGAAACCAAGATGAATAAATAGTTACTGGGATGGCTTTGTGGTAAATCAAGAATTCTTAACAAAAGTTTTCACCTAAGTTTCGGATACTACAATAATATGTGTACTCATGGTTCTTGCATTGGACTACATCATAGAACTTCGAGTTTCATCAAGCAGAACAAACAACTGCGTTACTGAATTATAAATCTAGTGCTCACCACCTTCAACTACACTGAATTCGTGATATCATGTGGTACTTAATTATTGTTTTCCTCGAGTTATTTTATAATTCCTAACTTGATAATCTCTATTGTTAAGAAGAAAAAAGGTTACCATTCGTCAAACATATTCAACTTCTTATTCTCTAAAGAAAGCCATATTTTCAATAAATACTATATAGAATCACTTGGTTGAACAATTACTCACTATTGCTTTTGGTGTACCCAACTCCATATCCATATATTCAGTATGTAAATCATTTGTAGTTGGTTTATGCACAAAAATTTGACCCAAGTCCAAATCCACTAAACGTGTTCCAGCGCTTAAATGCTCTTTCGCTTTCTAATAATTATGATGATAATGTTGATTGATAATGTTTTTTTTAAAATTATATATAAGAGAAAGAAATCGAAAAGAAAACAATATTAAAGAATGAATAATTGAACATAAAGAAGACAATGATAAAATAAATTGAGTATTCAACATAATCAATACTGTTGTAAACTAACTATTGTAACAGGAAAGAAACTAAAACAATGGAAAATTAAAATCTGAGTAATTTTATTATGTGAGAGAAGTGGCGATGATGATCGAGAAAATAAACAAAAGATAAACTTACCTCCAAATTACAAGAATGTATACCAGCCACAAACGGAACTGGACATCTAAACAGTAAGGCTATGGATAGTAACCGATTAAAATGCACTCAACTTACTCCAAAACACCGAGTACTTTGTCTGGAATTAGTGGGTAGAATGAATGAGCCCTAAAAAGTAAAAGAAACAGAAAGTTTGAAAGTTCCAATGCTTAAAGAAAAATTGGCTGTGCTTGAACATATTATTCAATTGGATGGTTTAAGAAAACTATTCATCCAACTGATGTCAGTCCATGACAAAAAACAGAAGTTATCTTAGTGATATTTCCATATTTTCATATGCTTTGCGAACTTAACTACATAGGTCGCTGTGACAAACGGTTATATCCCGACAAGAATTATGAATGGTAAATTTTGAGAACTATTTATGGACAAATACGTATATTCTTAGTATATAACTATTCAGTAGCTAGATTATGTATATAGATAAACCTCTTATTATAAGCTTTGTTTTGACCCACATTCTTAACTTTTGCCTAGATCCTGTATAAATGTTGTTTTCTATTTTATAGCACAATGTAGTCTGTTTGGTTTGTTTACAAACCCAGTATGTTTGAAACACATGATTCATTTCGCGGAGGCTGGGATTGGTGTTCTGGACACAACGGGCAGAGCTAAACAGGAAAAAGGATCGATAAAGACTCTGGACTGCTAGTACGGGTTTACGTGTCATTGGTCCGGTTGATAAATCACTGTTCTCTTATTGGCGTTAACATTACGTCATACATTAATAGGGTACAAGGCCACAAGTTGTAACACAAACAACTAAGGCAGAGTCACAACAATTATCTAAAACTAATTTCTCATTTGTGAATAAGTGATTGGACAATTTGATATGTACTACTTTTACGCAGCTAGAGTTTGTAGATCATAAATGAACGACTATGTTTTGATGCATTAGAGGGCACATAATATTAAAAAACAATGTAACATACAGTTGATCATAATCAGATAACATCAGAATCATTTGATATTTCACCTATGAGATAAAATTCAATTTTGTCGTACTCTGGCTTTGTAGAGGTGAAGTGATCAATATACAATACATGGAACAAGATCTATCTTTACAGATACAGTTTATTTGACTGTATTAACTGAGATCGTATTTGTTCTCTTTGAGCTTTCGTATTTTCTATTCGCGTTTCTACCCTTATCTTCTTTTCTCAATAATCTATTAAATTCTATTATTTTCTATTAAAATTTACCAATTCCATTCATTTTTTTAATCATAATTAGGATTATTGTCTTTAATTAAATACCTACATTTAATTACAATAACTTTCATTTACATATTTTCTAAAATAAATCACACCATTATATCTTTCGCTATGCTATCGTATCATTTATGACTTCTAATCATCATCTCCAAGAGTTTCTTTTTATACTTTCTAGTCAGATTAATGATTCAGTTAATTTTATCCATAAAAATATGCACTAAATTTATTCAACTACGTGTATGATAAAAACTAATCAGACTTTTGAATAGATTAATTATTTTAGTATAAAAAAACAACAAAAAAAAAAAGAAATACAACTTCACAACTGGTTAGTAAACTACAATACATTTTTACTGAATATGATCACGAAGAAAGAAAATTTTATTTACGCCGAAATATTTGATTTCTATAATTATAATAATTTTTAAATTGAATCGATTTGAAATGACCGCATTTTAAGAAAAAAACAACACTATTCAATCAAACATGGGAATAGAATATTGAAGTATTATAAAAAACAGATATCTATGGAAAACATTTATGATAGTAATAAGGTAACGATGTACTTTAAGAAAAAAACAAATTATTTGAGAAATAATCAATTAGCGGAGTTCGAACTTAAGACTCATCGATTATTGTTGCATCTTGAGACATGTTCAGTCCAAGGTCTACAAAAAATTTCATATCGTGAACAAGATTATTCTCATATGAACGGAGATTGCAGAAAACTCAATAAGGTAGCAACCAATTGACAATTCTTTAATCATGATATTTATCAAAGACAAAATTAAAGTGAAATTATATGAATATATATGACTACCGATTTTGGTATTAGGACACAGAAAAATGATAAACTCAAAGTGACAACGAACAGTCAGAAAACAACAAAGGTTATGTGAAGAAATGGGTTAAAACAAATTTACTGTGTAAGAGCGATTATTACAAGAAAAAACCAATACTAATTCAGAAAGAGCTAAATAGCTTGTGATCTTCCTAACAAGATTAACGGATCGTACAACTTACCCTGTTACACTATTCTTGTCAATATCTGTCAATGATCACAAAGACTGATGTTTAAAATGTAAACTATCAAATAGCAACGCAGTGTTTGAAAAGATCGTTATGAAACTGATGGTCATTGGCTTGAGCCTGTGTAAAGTTGTAGTTTTGCACTAATGAGATCTTTGATGTACCAGAACACAAATTTTGTATAGTGCTTGTTAATTTCTTAAGGTTATTTACTCTTAAGTTTGTGTCTAAAAATGATAAATGCCTTCCAAGTGTACAATCATTCCAATTATTCGGCATTACTTAAACAACAATATTTCTTACAAAAATAAATCATATTGTAGTTCAATAAATTACGAAAATTCTAGATAGTTATCTAAAGTTATTTCATTTAAAAATTCAACTACATCTTTTGCATCATCAAATAGACAAATGATTACACATTTCTAATTAACAGCTGATGATATCAGGTTAAAGTACGTGTACAATAATGATGCTGAAACAACAACGATAATAAAAAAGTGGTACCTGGATGATAAACATGAACGGAAAATAAATTAATTACGATTGTTTAAAAATTCCATTGGGAATCTTAAATAAATATTATTGAACCTTAACTAGTATCTCATTCAAACACACAAAAAGTCATAAATTAATTAATTGTTTCCCTCTAGCTACACAGTTTTCTTCTCACTAAGTAAAATATAATTCTTTGTTAAAGAAACAGGTTCCAAACACAGTGATAGCAAAATCAAACAACGAGATTGAATGGGTGGGAATTGGTAATATCATTCAACATTCAATGAATTTATTACAAAGAGCAGAAACAGTCAGGTTTCTATAGAGCTAATAAAATCAAATCTAAGAATTGAAAAAATAATATTAATACGTAGAATAGAGATATACTAAAACAAGTCAGTAAAAACAGTAAGTCTAAGGAACTAAAAAAAGGTGGAATTCAAGGACCAGTGTTTGTTGAGAACTAATGTGTAGAAAAATTTCGTATTTGTTTGAGTAGAACATGAAAAGCAAGATGTACTGTTATAAAAGTAGTAAATAAATTCATTTAACCAATTTTAAATGCTACACATAAATAATTTTATGAATAAGGTATGGTTTTAAATATTTATATTTATGTAAAACAATGAAGTAATAATATATTACTGGTAAAAAAATAACCAAAGTTAGATTAGTACGTTTTCATGTTTGTATTATAGTTATTATTACGGTTATACGTATTAGTCCATGGATTTACATCATAAATAAATGAGTACTAGTGACTAACTTCGAAGGATAATTGATGAAGTTCTAATGACAAGCCGTGAACAGTAGAGTTCAACTAGGTCGAGTGTGAGGTAACTACATACCAATAACATTACAAGGTAGTTCGCAAATTCCACGAATTGACTGAAGATAAAATGTTATCCACTGTTTATTAATTCAGTGGTCTGAAAGTTAGGCACTCATTTTAAAAATTCAATGGCTTGAATTTGACTTCTGGAGGGTTCATAAATAAAGACTGATGAGGAGACCAATACTAGGAAAAAACACTTGTCTAATGTTTCCTGACTTTCAATGTTCTAAATAAGGTACGTTTGTCATGTTAAACATAAAATTCAATAATCTTCACGAATCCATTACACTAGTATTATCAATAGCACTTACTGTGTACAAAATTAATGTACTCAGCTTTGAGTTATATCACTTTGTATGGTATTATTCAAACGTTTAAATAAAGGTAAGTTGGGCATTATTGAAACATGTCACCTATTTCTGGTTCTAAATCAAGTGCTTAAACTGCCATTATTATAGTGGTTGTAATTGCTAATTCTATCATAATTAACAAAAATTTCCCAATGACCGTTTTAGTAGGCTACATCGTGTCCAATTGCTTTTGGTTGTTATGCACCAATAACAACTAAAACTTGTATGATGATGAAAAATACCAATATACTGCATTAATCCATAAATGTTACATAAGAAACCACAATTGTAAAAACAATGTCATGTTTCTAAAAACATTAATCTTATTATGAAAAAAAAGGAGTATGGGGGATGAAACGAAATCACATTATCTTCAATGAAGTTTGTTATTTGTTTCATAAAAACGTTTATTATAGGATGACATTTTTAACAACATGAATATCATGTTGTAGCCTAGTAGGTTTTATAACAAGAAGAAACTTATTACAATAAAAGCAATATGTTGTTCAAGTGTTTTATTTGTTTGTTTAAGTGATATTTTTGTAGTCGCGATGATACCGACCGGAGTATTATAAAGAATATTTGAAGATATTAACATCGAAGGACTAATTTTAAAAAGGGATTTCCTGAATATTCCAGTGTGAAATTTTAGCCATTTGTGCCAGACAATCCCTTACCATTAACACCAGGTGACGAACTCCTTCTATTTATAAGGAATAAGTTATTGCATAAATATCGACAACAGAATAGTAACTCCTTGAAGAATCAACATTATAGTGATCATCACGAGACTTCAATGTTCTAGGCTCAATAGAGTATGATTGTGGAATGCGCACACACAGTTGATGAGTCATCCATATAAACCAACAGTTACCCTATGTTCACTGGTTGTCAATAACTCTAAAACTGATATTAGATCATAACAAAAACTATTCGAAAACCTGTTGATTTTTAAAATTCATGAAACAAGAAACATTCAGATTAAACGAATTTAGTTCTCGGAAATAAAGTGTTGCTGTACGAAACCTCTGCCTATCATATTCGACCCGATCTATGGTGATTCCCCAACTGAAGGACAAGTTACCTGATTATGCCACTTCTGTGTGTATCTATGAATTTAGCTGCTCCTGCTGAGAAAGCTATGTTGGGCGCACTACCAGGCAACTGAACCAAAGAGTTAGT